TGTAATGTGATATGGCCTACCTCTGAAGTTTTTATTCTCGAAAAATTACTTACAGACGACTTAATTTCTTGTTCTGCATTATTTCATTATATATTGTGGAATCTCGTGACCATTAAACTCTCCAATAATTTCAATTTGTTTAAAGAATATTGTCTGAAAAATGCCCAAAAGTGGATTGAAAAGTTCTTGTTTCAAGTAACAGAGAAAAACAAACTTGCCATCTTTCAACAAACAAACTGAATGTTGTTTTTTAAAACTTTTCATGTCTCATATCAACAACTTCCCGCTTGGCTCTATATTGAAGATCAGATCTCTGGTCAGAAAGGAATAGCAACAAGAAACTCTGTGAAGGAACCAACCAGGAACCTATAGCCCAATGAGTATGCAGAAGAAAACGGAAATGCGACGAACACACGCTGGGGTGACCGTTGAGTGACATCAAGCAGTATCGAGTGGAACCCTAATAAGATACGATGAGTTGCGCGTATATCCGATGGTGACATGGAGGAGACGGGAGTTTATGGGAAATCATGTAGCCAGCTAAAGTGGACTGTATGGAACAGGATGGAATGGAGATGTTCTGTTGAAGCCCTATGTTCCACTAGGAACCTAAGAGAATAATAATAATACTGTGTTACAACCACAAATTGCATTGAGTACTTCTCAGCTGTGGTAAAAAGTCATTCTTATTCTAGTTTAAATAAATCTGTTGAGAAATTTTAACCCTCTCTATTTATGAATGTGCGACAATTTGGTTTCCACTAAATTTGATTAGAGAAACATACATATAGATCCTGTGAGATAACTTTTTACTGATACTTTTATATTACTGATCACGAATTGTTTGCCGTCAACTCATTCCATACATTCATTTGAATGACAAAATACTTCAGTTTTGTTTATTACAGGAAAATGTCTCCACTTCATAGAATACCCTAACACTTCATGCAGTTTGTAATTTGTTTTATTACTAATTTCTACATGAATGGAGTTATCTCACCGTGGCCTTATGTTCACCGTTTACACTTATTATATGTGTATGTGCGTCGGTGGCACAGCGGTAGAATGCTCGCCAACCACTCATGTGGTCTGGGGTTCGATCCCCGGCCGACGCACTCCTTTACCTCTTCAAGTCAATAATAAGACTAGTGAGGAGGGAAGACTGGGCATGAGGCTAGCAACCCCATCCCGTAAAAATAAACACCACTGCTACGGAAACTTCAAGTCACTAGCTTGAAGCCCTAGTTCCACTGGGAACGTAAATGAATTAAAAAGAATATATGTATGCATTGATGAATCGTTGAATAGCGCTTCCAGTAGGTGGGTTTATGTATCAGTTCCATCAGCTTTTAATCCGGAAGCTTAGAATCGCGGTTAATCAGTGACATAAAAGCTCGTCTTTAGTTTATTGTAATTCTTCTCTTTCATATCGTAGTGCTTATTTAATATGACTTTTATGTGTGCTCACCAAGCATACATGTGTTTCAGGGTTCGATTCCCGACCGGCTCACACATTTACCTTGCTAAATGTCTTCCAAAGCCGACAAAGTGGGAAGTTGGGGAGGGGGAGAAGATACCACCGCAACTAAAACTTCAAAGCCAAAAGCCTGAAGTTCTATATTCCAATAGGAACGCATAGGAATGGAAAAAATGACTTTTGTTTTTCATTCGTCATTCCGAAATATACGGTTGCACTGCAGCACAGTGCAACAGTCGAACTTGAAACACTTCTTTCATAGCAGTATGTACATCACTTGATGTGACTAGCAAGCACTATTGTGTGATGTGAGTAGTACCGGACATATCATATCAATCAACCGGGTGTATACAGTATTACACTATTTCGCTTGCCTTCTTGATTTCTATCCATGATATCAAGCAGGATATTTATGGTTTCTAAAGTAAGCTATGGTTATTTATCAACTTGAGCTATTGAATTTGTAAATGGAGAATTTGTTACTCTGAAAAATATTCAGCAATATTAGCTGTGGAAATAACTGTTTAGTGGTCACATATAAAAGTGTGAAATGTACTCTTAATTGCTTAAAATAATCAATATTGCTGCAGATTAGCTAGTGGTTGATAAATCTCCGTTTTCATTCAAAAAAGAACAACTGACTCATTAGTGTAATTGTGTATCATGGCGTTTATCTCTCCTTTTAATTCTTGACGCCAATGCATGTGATCGCGATGAAAACGTTTTGATACTGTGATGGTTTATAAACTGTACAATTTTAATTACACTTGCATTTATTATGACTATTGTGAGATATAAAGCTATACATCAGGGTTATTTGGCTGGCTAAACGTTCGTTTCCGTGATAACAGACGAGTGAGGGCAGATTGGTTAAAATTGTGAATCATTATTATTAAATTTGTCACAAACCTCTTAATGTTGAGAATCGTGCTCTTGTCAGCCACCATTTATCCTCATCAATATACCATAAATAAGACAGATTCGAAGCATATGGCTTTCCTCGGAAAGACACAGAACAGTTTCTCAGCACAAACCGAAAGATAACTGTAAGGGAAATATAGTTAAATAATCTACTTTTAAAGATATGTGACTTTTGTCTAGAATAAACTTTACTGTAATTTAAGTTTAATAACGAGTTTAACATTCCAATACGATAAGGTGAATCAGTCAAGTCATAATCAGAACTTTCCTTCCTAAGTTCTTTGGTATTACAAAGAAGTTTGTTTCAAGTTTGCCCGCGGATTGATTTCAGTTAAAGAACTATTGAAAACCAACAGAGAGTACTGGACAGCTGTTTAGTCCTAGTTTGGGACTCTTCATCAGTACGCACCTCCCAAGGTTCAAAACCAGGCCCTTGTAGTCACAAGTCAAACTCGTAGGTTATTCAACCGTCGGGACGTCATCCAACTGCCCATGAGTTCTAACTTCTACCAATTCATGATTTTTGCGTGGTCATCAGCTAAACTTTTTCATATTGTCTTAGTTGTCAGTTATAATTACCGTATATCAGGATTCGAATACTTGAAGTCTGAGAAAATATTATTTGCTTTATTTTCCGATGCTAGTACAGTCCAAAATGGTGATTCGTCTACATCTCTATTTAAGTGAGGAGTCCTATAATGCAATCGAAAATGGCGATCAATTCATTGGTAATTTTTGTCACTAACTTCAAACTACATCAGATAAAAAGAGCATCCATCTTGTTTAAACGTAATTACTAATTAATTTATTGTGCATTAAGAACTATCACGCATCGTGATCATTTCTTATGCAAGACTTTTTCAGTTAGTATGGTTAGATACAACTAACATAGTAAAATCAGAGACGTAAATGTATTAAGTTCTTATGTGTAAAATATACCTTTCACAGTAGCTATCTGAAAATTAGGTGGTTAGAATTCATTCGGCTCTTTGAGTTGAGTCTAATCGGGTAGAATACTGATGAGCTCGGCTCAAAACGAGTGAAACACAAGTCTGGTGTTAAGATCAATTCAATCTAGCTAGCAAATACTAGTCGTTGAGAAAAATCCAGTTAAAGAGTGTTCAGCGTGAACCTTTGTTCCGAAATTAGGTTTTAACTAAAATGTATGTCAAACCATCATGGAAAAATTGGAACTGTGTAATGTGATAAATAAATTCCTGAAGTTCTACTTCAACAGAAAAGCATGACAAATGGCTTGTTTTGCTAAGTGATAAACATTTAAGCCAAAAAAGTAATCAGTGGTAAGGTGTTAACCGTTAAATATCTATTATTTAGAGGTCACTGGCAACCCCAGAATCCTGGATAGCTTTTTCACGCTCGTTTGGATCTTTTCAGCATTGCACACACACGACCCCAGCAGGGATCAAACCCACGGGACCAATTTCGCTGACTATTCAACCGGTTGGGCCAGAATTCGGTGACCGATGAATTCTAGTCTTGTCAACTTGTGATTTAGTGCCACTCAACGTTCTTCGATGAGCATCCGAAACATGTTGACACTGTAGACCCCACTGGTATCAACTTCTCAGTACAGTCTCAGGAATTGGAATTAATAGATGGTATTAACCGAACAAAAGGAACTATCAGTTGTTGCTTCAGGTCTCTTGTCATTTTCTTAACTTCAATAGAAACTGGGGCACTGAATTAATGTCTCACTGTGACACTGTTAATAGATAGTAGGTAGCCGAAAAACAGTTAAAAGTTCCTGGAAGCTACTAATCCAAGATTACTGCTTGTGAATGGATCAGGTGTCGATCCTTCCTGAGCTTTCCTACTAAACCGCGCCCCCATATAATAAACGTTTAATCAGTCGTAATTTAAGCTCCTTATTTTCTCCATAATATGTTGAAAAAATATGTTAAAATACCAGTTTCTCGGCATCACTCCTAACTGTTAGGTTGGACAAAAACAGTATCTAAAGGAAGGTAAAATTAATGGAATCAGCGTTTTTTTCTTCCGCGTCTGTTACCAATTAGGTGTGAATGAAATCTGTGGTGAACGGAGTAATTACTCTTCATTGAAAATCCTTGAAGTTTGGTCATGTCCGCAATCCCATTTCACTCCACTTTACTAGAAATCAGTTTATCCCTGTTATTATTATTATTACTTAGATTGTGTATTTTATAAAGATTTGAATTAGTTTCAATTTTTAGATTTGGTCACGAACCAACATCAGCTGGAGAGATGATTGGAAAACAGAGAGCACTGGAAGTTACAAACCAATGGTGACTGAATTCTGACCCAAATGACTAAATGGTCAACAAGCTTGGTCCTGGGTTCACTCACTGGTGGGGCTGTGGGTGTACAATACTGAAGAGTCCCTGACGGTTTTCAGTGGTTCGGTAAATAAAGTCCATTTGTGAAAAAAATATTAATATTCTTCTTAAACCAAAAATTCTCATTGAGTCATCCATTTACTTATTTTTAAACCAATCAAAATTCGCGCAGTTGACCTTAATTTTTTTAACATCACTGATTGGTTCTAAATTCCTATGAATAACAAGGATAAAATAAGCATCTGTTAAATGATTTTGTAAAATCATGAATTTGTTAATTTATTTCACATTACTATTAATAAAAAAAGAATAAATATATATAATTTATTATTTTAAAAATTAAATAGAATGTAAAAAAAGAAAATTATTGCAAAAGGCAAATAAAAAAATATCAGAACCACTCAACTTTATTTTTGCATTTCTTCAAAACAATATGATTTCAAAACACATCGGGACATTTTTACATGTATAAAGGACAATGCCACAATTAACTTACCATCGATATTATCAAATCTTTCTATTACTTACTAATTTTCTATTATGTCATGGAGATTTTATGGATTTAATTAGTGAATCAATTTGCGCGGCGAAATGTTTGAAAGCATTCACCGACTCGGTAAGTTGAGTAGAAATAATAAAATTGTGTCAACCTATTAAAAAAAATCTTTTTCATGAATAAATTCTATAAAATTTGTTTTTAAAATTTTTTAACCATAATCTGAAAAGATTTATTGTGTACAATCTTGTACATTGTAAATGAATGAAGTAAGACTGTCTTATTCTTGAGATTTGCACGAACAAACCGACAACAACTTATTTGTGGGTTGGAGGATTTCATCATGAGCTGAAATCGGTTAAGAACCATTGGAAAACCAGCTGGAAGTACTGCCAGACAGTTATTTCGTCCCGATTTGGGACTCTTCAACAGTACACAGTCACCGCCAGGGTCCGAACCAACAACCTTCTGGTTGCAAGGCTAGCGAGCTCGTAGACCACTGAGCCACTGGTACCCAATCCTATGGCCCATGAATTCCAACTTCCGCAAATACACGAAATAGTGCAACCGCTAGCCACTAGATCGGGTCTCAGTGGCTTAATGGTCTACGAGCTCGCTGACCTTGTAACCAGAAGGTAGTGGGTTCGAACCCCAGTGGGTGCGTTCTGCTGAAGAGTCCCAAACTAGGACGATATGAACAGCTGTATAGTATTCCCTGTTGGTTTTCCAATGGTTCTCTAACCGATATTAGCTCATATTGAAATCCTGTAACCAATCAATCAAATCTCTATAAACCAATACTTGAAAACTTATTTATTTTTCTTGGTTTGTTCAAGTTTATCAGAGGAAATAGTTGTTTGAAGCTGGAAACGATTTATACTCAACCCCTTTTTAATTCCTTCCAATGCATAATCTGTGGTTTATTTTCTCAGAGTTTGATATATTCTCCTACCTGGAATGTTTAATAACGAGGCTTTCATTGTTTCGCTGTAAAACATCTTTAGCCTTCACGTCACTTTGAAGTTTTTCTTCTCGACTGCAAATTATTGTAGTTTCACAAAATTTTATTTTCATTTTTAATGGAGTTGCTTGTAGTTATGAGTGAGAAGTCGTGACCAGTGGGGGCCCTCAGTTGAGCCTGAGGATAAATACGCATCGATGACAGCGACTGGTGGTCGCTCTATAAATGTCGCTAGTCGGCAGAGGTTAAAATTCATGGGGAATAGGATGTTGTCCCAGTGGTTGAATAGTGTAGAAGTTCTCCTTGTAACCTGATGGTCGTGGGTTCGACCCACACTGAAATATCCCAAACAAGTACAAAACAGCTGACCGACAACCCTTCCTTCATCAGTGGTGCTCTTCCTGAAGTCATTTCATGGTCAAAGGTGAAATGAATGCAATCCCAACCTTTGAATTCAATTTATTGACTGAAAAAAGAGATTAGAATGACTCCTTCTCCCGAATCACTTCAGAGGTGTATAAAACACATTATCATCAATGGCATTAAAACACTTTTATTTCTGATTTGATTCACACACACACACACACCAAAGAAAGAATATTTACACTGTATAAACTTAAAGGGTGACAAATCTCACAAATATCATCCTTTTCTGTTATCCAGCTGTTAAACTTAAAGGTTAAGATAATCCTAACAATCGTGTGAATATACATGTGCACTAGTTATAATAAATACTACTTTGACATTTTGAATATAAATTTATCGCAGAAATAATAATAATAGACATTTTCGCGGATAATGACTTAGACACCTAATTTCTATGCAGCACTAGACAGAAATTAGGTTAATCAGGAAGCATATATGAATAAGTATGACTAAAAGGATGCCTAAAAATATATATTTGAGTAGGTGAGAAATTCTAATGCCGATGAGTACGCATCATATTTTATGCATCAGTGAATATTTTTTAAAAACTTATTTCAAATGAATTTTTAAGTAAATGCATAAACATTTCATGGCATTAAAATGAGTGAAATTCATTTTTTGAGCCTTGCAAGTGATTTGCAAGTCCTTCTAACTGTTATTAATCAAAAAAGGTGTCAAGGAAATCTTTTAGACAGTCGCGCAGCTAGCCGAAAATGATGGCAGAGAACACAGTACAATGACGACGTGTTACAGAAGACCTATATCTCACTCGCAACTCAACGAACAAACGGGAAATATAAATTCATTTGAGACTATTAATATTATACTTTATAATATTTACCTATTACTTCCCACAATAGAAGCATTTAGAAAATATCCTCATTTTTGGAAAGGCACAGTTTGACTTGTTTCACAACTTCAAATTATTGAATTGTTAGTGTTTTGCTTACACAACGAAGAATACTCATAATATAATGTCAATCTATCATATGAAAAACAAGAGTAAGACATTATTTTGAATTTTTTGGATCCGTGGTATTAACACAACATATTGTTCTGGAAAATTTACTACTCAGAATCTTACATGTTTCAACTTCAATCACGGAGTGATATCAGCTAGAGAACCATTGAAAACCACCATGGAGTGCTGGAAAGCTGTTTCGTCCTCCAGTTTCATAACTCTTCAACATTACGCACTCATAACCCTACCGGGGATAGAACTTAAGACCTTCGAGCTACGACGAAGTGGACCTGTTGACTGTCTAGCTGCTGGGACGAAATCCAATCACCCACAAATCCTTACTTCTGTCCATTCACTGTGAAGTACAGATAGCGAAAACATTTAAAACATTTAAAAAACCATTTTCAGTAATCTACATAACACAAAACAATGGCAAACAAAATAGAGAAAACCTACTTTGCAATTAAATATATAGTTACAATTACAAGTACTAACTCGCTTTGATTTATTCAATAAGCACTTCACATCACACTGACATTAACAGTCTGTCTATCAAATGAAATCACAAAACCAAGTCACTAATTCACTTCATTTCAAGATGACTGTTGTGACTAAAATGGCAATCTCTTGACATATAAGTACACGCCTAACAGAATTATGAATAGTAATTCCATTTTAAGTGTATTTTAAAAACTCTAGAAAATGAAATTCTCAAGATGCTTGTCTTCCTTTTAATGTTTGACTTGAGACCAGTCGAATCTCTATAAGGCGACAGGTGAAGATTAATCTGATGCTCATTAGTGACTGACTCCAGGATGAAGTTACCTGGAGTTCTAGTGGGGAACCGTAATCGATAGGGGTATACCAGGTTGGGTGTGAGGACAAATACTCACCGATAACAGTTGTTGGCGGTCTCTCCAAACATCACGAACCGACAAAACTTAGAACTGATGGGCCGGTGAATTCCAACACAGTGTTTGGATATTCAACGAGTTTGGCCTTGTAAACCGAATGTCTTCAGTCCGATTCCTGGTTGGGTCTTGGACGCCTACTGTCAATGAGTCCAAAACTAGGATGAAACATCCGTTCTGTGCTCCCTGGTAGTTTCAGTCCGTCTCCAACTGATATCACTCCGTGAACAAACTTGAAACAAATTAAATCCCTAGAAAACTAACTCTTGTAAATAGCAAATAAACCGACATATGTGTAAGCTTTCTGCATAAAGCGAAACGTGTCCTGTCTAAAAAATAAGATCGATCGTAAACACCGAGTGGTTCTAAGCCTACTGCAGAAATCTTGACTTGTACAGATAAAAGCTTTCTTTCTAAGAACATGAGACGTTTAAAACACCTAAAGCTTGGAGTAATCCATCCCACGCTTCAAGATGAACACAGCACTGATGACTGCCTGAATAATGATAATTTTGATAGTAAAAAGGAATTGAGTTAGCTAGGCTCAAATGCTGAATAAGAATGAATATTTTCCTTATTGCATTTATTTGTAGCAAATAATCAATTAATTAATAATTGTCTTGTTATTATTGTCATCATAATTCGAGTTTATGATTTGAAGCTTTGCAATCAAGAACACAAAGAAAAAGAAAAAAAAAAGAAAGGTTTCTTTGTGTCATACAACATCAATATTCAAATGATTTCGACTTATAAAAACTATGATGAACTAGAGAACACTGTGGTTAATTTTAAACAAAGACAGTTGTTATAACTATCATGTAGTGTGTGTAAATTAATAAGACAGGATGGTAAAAATACACACATTCGTTAAATGTCTTTTTAAATGGATTTCTCATTTAGAAATGTGCAACAGATTCTTACTGTAAGAATCATAAGGTTCATTTAGTTCCCTTTGCTTTCCGAGTAGAACATAGGGCTTAAAGCTTCCGCTCTAAAGTATCAGTAGCACTCGATGTGATTTTTATACAGGATGAGGTTGTTAGTCTCACGTCCAACATTCTACATTTATAGACCTTACTACTGGCTAAGAGAGGTTAAGGAGTGGGTCGACCCAGAAGTGAACTCTGGACCATGAGAGCCATGGTTGGTGTGTGTACACAAATTGACTGGGTATTTATCAGTAACAGTAGTCATATATCCTCTATCTTATCCTACTGATATTTTCTAACTGCAGAAAGCTAAAAGAAAAAAACTGTTTCAGTTAAACTAAGGGGAACTAAGGACTTCAAACGAACATCTCCGTTTCATCTTGTTCTCTGCAGTCTTATTTACCTGCCTTCACGATTGCCAATAAGCCAACATCTCCTCCTCAAATAATCTCCCCCATGTCACATTTAGACCCACGCCCAAATCGTCAATACTCATTCGAGTTCCACTCGAGCTGCTGTCTGGTGCATGATGACACCCAATGGTCTCCTCAGTGTGTGTCCAGTCCATATCCATTTCCTTTAGCATATTTGTTGGGCAGAGATTTCACGGTTTATTTGTCCCCAGAGTTTCCAGGAACCGACGTTTTCTAACAAACAATAAACTTCATAGAAGAATTATAGTGTTTTGGATATCTAGTTAATAGAAGTGTCTCATGAGGTAAATAAGTAGTCAGAGAAATCATTGAACACGATAAAAATTCTTTGTGACTCAGCACCTACTCAAAGCCTGAATTTTCTCACTTTTAGTTGGCATTGCTTTTGCAGTTGATGATAATGTATATAATTCAGAACAAATAATGATCCTTTTCTACTAATTTTCATATAGGTTAGTCTGAAATCTTAAAAAGCGTAGCCACATTAGTGAACCATGT